GCTCGGTCGACCACAACGCTTTCTCGAGGAACTCCTGGGGGCTACTACAAAGAAGGGGTTTAGGGTTTAGGGTTTAGGGTTTAGGGTTTTAGGGTTTAGGGTTTAGGGTTTAGGGTTCAGGGTTTTTGAACCTCCAAAATCCACCCCGAGCACCACCAAAAACACATACCCTAAACCCCACAATCCCAAGAGGCCAAGAGTACAACCCTCCGCCCCCCTCCCCGGCCAACCGACAAAGCACAACGGATGGCAGTTGGTGTCAGGATTGTGCACCAGACTGCACACACCACCCTTCAAAGCATATTGACTACTCTGCAATGTTTTTCGTCCTGACCCCCGCCAGCACTCCAGGATTTTCACCCCTAGATCGCCGCCTGCCGTGTCTGCGGTGGTTGCACAAAAGCTGCAGATCCAGCTTACCTTTCCGGAGACATGCCTGCGCTTTCCGAAAAATAGCACCAAGATCCGGCTTCCAAGCAACGATGGAGCGATACTCAAGCCAAGCTGCAGTAATACAGGGGCCTTAATAATTGGAATAGGGCGTTGGGGCCCATTATACTATAATCATCATCAGGAAGCCCCAAAATAGTATTGGTAACTGTTTAGGCCCCTATATTGCCATACGAACCCCAAGCACGTCGCACCAGATCCTTGAGATCCCACGTTGCCACCCCGGCGTTGACGACCACATTTTTGGTCTGCTTGCCACAAACACTGCGCCAAGACGCAGAAACGAGCCCTAAACCCTAAACCCTAAACCTTAAGCATTTAGGGTTTAGGGTTACAAAAGCACCTGAGCAAAAACATACCGATATCTCTGAGACTCCGGACATCAAGAGGCTTCTGCTTATGTCCTTCTTGGGGCCGGGTCCCGGGCTTTTAGCAGCTTGGGAGTTAGTTTTGGTGAGCAAACCCTGAGAGTTTCGGGAATATACCTGAACCTGTTGGAGAGTTATGGGAAGTTGAGCTACATAGTTAAGGCCAGGGTTGTGGGATGATGCTATGATCAAATATCTTCAGGCGGAAACCCTAAACCCCTAAACCCTAAACCCCTAAACCCCTAAATCCTAAACCGCAAACCCTGAACCCTAAAGGCTTACCTTACTTCCCCAATATGCCAGGGAAATATAAGCTTGAAACTTTCGGAATACCTACTAAGTTAGAAGAACCCAAAAAGGTTTAAAGGTCTGGGTATTGAAGAACTCAATTAATTACAGACTTTCTGCTGTTGAGATCACAAAAGTGAACCTCAATTCCGACCCAAAACCCCACGTCCTCTGGTGGAACCTTGTTTAGGGTCTGGGCTTAGGGCTTAGAGCTTCGATGAATTTAGGGCTTAGGGTCTAGGGTCAAGCGTTTGGGGTTCAGGGTTTAGGGTTTAAGGTTTAGGATTGAGGGTTTAGGGTTTCGCAGCCTTACTCTGCATTGTAAGCCATATACTACCCTAAACCCTAAACCCTAAACCCACTAGCTCTTTAAACCAGCCCCTAACCTTGGGTTGATATGCCGAGGCTTACGGATGAGGATTTTGGCGCTTGGATTTGGGCAGTTCTCTAAAACAGGGTCCCTTTTTGGGTCCCCAATATAGTACGGCACCCGTATAAAAAGGACCCCCCAAAAAGGACCATAATTTAGAAAACTACCCCCTTTTTGGTAGGGTTTGGGTTTAACCAGGCGAGGCTAGACTCTCACAACTCGGAGAAGCCAGGCGAGGTTCCATAGTCGCAGGTCAGCGTGATACTGATAAGGTGGTCCCTGGTTCCTAAACCCTAAACCCTAAACAACGGTTTAGGGTTTAGGGTTTAGGGTTAGATTTTACGGTTCAGGTTGCCCGTCTGTTGTCGCTTCTGCGTCGTCGTTTGCTCGTATCATACTCCAACCTATCTTGTGCTTACCGTTGCACCCCAGAAAATGAAGGAGGAGGACCCTGCTGCAATATAGGGGGCCTTAGTACTTACGTGCAGAAGGGTTCGGGGTGGACTATACTACAACTGTAATAGGGGACTCATAGGACGACGGTTCAAGCCGCCATATTTACTGAATTCAGCAGCTTTTACCTAGCTTATGAACATCAAGCAGCAAAGCCTAACAGCTAGTGCTCACTTGTCTAATTTCCAGTTCCGTGTTGTTGCGCCCAGGTGTCCTCTGGAACCGGAAGGATTTATAGCTTATCACCTAAGCCTAAACCTCAAAAGCCCCAAACATCGAAATCCCTCAACCGTATTTTGACGCTAATCTACTACTTAAAGGATCATGGGACTTAGTAACTGAGGTTATAAACAAGGCAACTCTACCGTATAACCCCAATTGGGGTACTTATAACCCTACTTACTAAGTCCCAAGATCCTCCAAGTAACGCCCCATAAAACCCTAACCCTTAAACCTAAACCCAAAAAGCCTAAACCCTGAAACCCTAAACCCTATAGAGGGGCCTATGGTGCACTAAGTTGTCGCCCTTTTTCCGGTCAGCCTCGGCCAACTTCTCCTCGACGGTCAGGATGCGCTCCTGCCTGGGCTGTCATGGGTTTCTTTGCCTCCTACTTAGCAAGGACGTGCCCGCATTGCAGGGTGGTAAGTCTGCTTGGTTTGTGCACTGCCTGCCTTCTATTTAAGGCGGGCAAATTAGGAGGGTTTAGGGTTATAGGGACTAGCCCTTAAGGGACTATCATAGGGATCCAGGCACCAGACAGTGGGTGGCACTCACAACTGCCAATCTTTCAGCCTTGGGCTCAAGTTACCTCAACAATGAGTTGCTGGGTTATATCATATGATATTTAACACTAGGAATCCAGTTGCCTGAACAATAAGTTGCTGGGCTATCTATATATATATATATATAGAGAGAGAGAGAGATGCATGGTAACCTAGATTTTAAGTAACTGGAGTTGTAGGGTAACATCAGGCTTGGCGTTCGGGTGAAGCGGCTAAGGGATTTAGGGGGTTTAGGGCTCCTTTCATACACAAACGGTTTCAATCATCCGAAATTAGACCAATATCCGGTCGCACGTGTGATTGCAGAGGCATTGAGCAATATTGCGAACTAGGCTCGCCACTCCAGTAAACAAGCCCAACACCCATGCTTGTGTTAAAATCCAATTATGATTCTTCATTTTTTAGACCTGGAGGGGGAACTCGGCCGAAAATTAAAAATGGAGCCTACTTGGAGGTTGACGCTAAGTCGGGTTGTAAGTGCCTTTCTCGGGGGTCTACCTCAACGCGAATGCAAAAGGACCAGAGCTTTAGGGTTTAGGGGTCAACGGTCGTTGT